TCTAAAACCACGTATACTGCGATAAATTACTGATGTATACCGAATTAAATAACTTTTTTTCGTATCATCTGATATATTGGCATCAACTTCGATGTCAACGAAAACAACATAAATCAGTCATACGAAGCCAAGTAATAAATCAGAAAGACTTAAAAATATTTCGTTATGAATCACTATTGAAACCATATAACAAAAAAGAAATTTGATCAATCTAGATAGAGATTTGAAAAAGATAGAAAATACTGTGTGCAACAAAATGAATTGATTCTTATTAAGAGAAATAAACTAATAATAAAATACGATTGTTTCTAAATCTTTATAAAACTTTCTAGCTTCAATCAACACATAAAAGATGAAATTTTAAATGTTGCAATTTATCTTAAATAAGAAAAAAGAATATCCGAAGAAACAGATGTTTTAATTAATAATAAAGAGGATGATTTTATTCTGCAAATAAATATAAAAAAAATTTCTCAATGTTCTTTTGATGTAATATTTTTATTTTATGCAGTAGTGTTATAAAATCGTTGTGGAGTAATGATCGATAAGTATGATGACTCTGAAAATTTGTACGATCAAAACTTAATTGACTGAATTATATTTGTTCAAGAAGAATCGACGGAAGTATTTAATTATTCGATTAGAGGTGAAAGCACGCGTTGAGGGATAGGGGTGAACAGGTTTCATTAGGGTGCCGTTAGATAGCAATTAGACTAGGGAGTCTAAGCAGTCGAAAATAATTTATGATTAAGAATGCTGGTCGAGAATGGGGAAATTGAATGAGCAGCCAACCGAGCAATTAGTATCTTTGAAATGATGCTAACTGGACGAACGAAACCCACACGACACCCACATGAAACGAACCCACATCTCCGATTTTCACTTTCGATATTACTTGAACATTAAAAGAAAGTGTTTTGAAAAAAATTCGGCCTCTCTTTAAAATAAAATAAAATCTTTTTAAAATTGCAGCCAACAACTTGAGTTTTTTTTAATAGATCAAATTATCAGATGATGTGTAAAATAATTTTTGCAAAAATTATATTCATTAATATTATTAGCGATTAATTGATTTTTTATTTTAACTTTTTAATTTGAACTTTAAAAAAGAAGTGAAAATGAAAATGAAATCTTTATAACTATTAAAATTTAAATTATTAAAATTAATTTTTATTATAATTTTATAGTTTATCCTATAAATTTTTAATGTAAAATTTAATGTAAAATATTTTATATCTAAGTAAAATTTATTTTTAAAAAAAACTAGATATTAATAAATTTGTTTAACATTTAATTTCTAAATTTATCTATATTATTTATTTATAATTTCAATTTAATAAATAAACTTGTAATAAACTTTTTGTAATAATCTTTTTGTAATCTTCAGAAAAAATATTCTCAAAAACAAACTTATATTATAATATAAAATATATAAAAGCATTATAAATGAAATATTACTTTTAAACGATTACAAATTTAATAATAAAAATGCAATTAACGAATATGTTGTTAAAATCACTTACACAATTCTGATTTCCAAGCTTCAAGAACTTACTGTTTATAGAAAATTCTTTCTAATACCGAAATAACAAAATCTATGAAAATGAATAATTTCTTTTCTCTCTCTCTCCCTTTTTGAGCATCAGATAATTTGAAACACATCATATCTCATTAAATGAAAACATATCACAAGGCAATACAGATTTATACATAGATGTGTTATTCAATTCCAAATCCAAACAATAGATATTAAAAAAAACAACGACTATATACTCTTCACTTAAGCAATAAATTTCAAAGCATTTGGAAAATAAATAAACATACATCGAAACATCCTTGCCTCTGAACAATATCATAATATTCGAAACATTTGATTTTATTAAATTACTAATATCTACACCTCAAGCGTCGTTCCATCCCCAATCCATCTTGACAACAATGATGAACAATGAGAAATCAAAGAACGAAGAAGAACGTGGTAGCAAAAGTGGAGGAAAGGGAAGGGATGGGAGGAGAAGAATTAGAAAAAGAAGAGGAGCGGACGGGCCACCAGACGAAAAAATTCGGAATATTTATGCTCGGTATTATTAGCGTACGTCGGCGATATCTCGGTGGGCATCGCTAATTAGGCCGCGCGAACGGCGCTCTCGGGCCTTTCGGCAAACAGTGGTGGCTACTGTCTTTAAAGGTTCTCCACGGGTGTAATCAAGATGGTGGCGCCGGCCGCCCGGGGCGGGTCGATTCCGAAACTAATTGCCACGGCTAATTTATTCCCGCGACATGTACGCACAGAGACGCCATTCTCGGCTACCGCGTAATCGTCGCGACGTAATCGAGAGTGCCACCAGTTGGACACACTGAGGAAGAGGGGGGGATGTGTTTACCCCTCGAAGATTCTCATCTAATTCTCGTGCCTCCGTGAGTAAGTCCATGGTGCTTCGAGCTGTTTTCAGCTGTTGGAGGAATTGTTTGTTTGTTTGGTTTCTGGGTGGATGTGATGAAGTGTTGTGAAGTTGAATTGATTGGAATTTAAATGTTAATGGTGGAATTGGGATGAAAAATAGAATTAAAATGAGGGATGAAATTTTTTGTGCAGATACTAGTGCTTTATAAGAAATTTTATCCGGTTAAAAATTGTAATTTTATTGGAAATTTTTGTGTGTGAATATAATTGATTATATATGATTAAATCTCTTTGAGATTAAATTAAAGTTAAAATTTTGGATTTTGTTATATCAAAAGTAAAAAAGTAACGAAATGTTGAATGTTAATTTCACCTGTTTAAAATTTATCTAAAAGATTAAAATTTCTTTTTATATTTTTACTACGAAATATTCATTTCAAAATAATCCAAATCTCAATATATAAAATGATATCAAAATATACATTTAAAATATTATTTATGCAACTACTTTTTCAAGAAAAAGTTTATTTTCAAAATCTTGATAAAAATACTCACTTCTATTTATCTATTTTCAAAAACCAATTTCTATTTAATCAAATATAATCTTACTTAATTGTTAACCAGTAGACCAATGAATAAAAATGAAAGCAGTAACAAGTTTAAAACATCTAAAAATTAATTTCAGAAGAACATCAATTATGATAAAATTGAAAGCGTGTATACTTTTTTACCAGCAATATAATATATGCAAGGTACGATCAAAGTCGAATATTTCTTCAAAATTCAATTACTAAATCTTCGAAGCAACGAATCTTCGAAGTAACACGGTACGCCTAGCTCGTAATTCTCGACACAAAAAAAAAAAAAAAAAATCTTAATTAATTCGACGAGAATGTAAATAAAAGAAAAAAGAAAAGAATCCAATGAAAGCTTAGATAAAGGTTTCGATAAACAGTCTAATCAGCAGAAACATCTCTCTTCGGCAAGATTGGGAATTGGAAACGGGTACACGCGTGATTTCATGAAATATGACTCACGCCACCAACCGAGGAGGCGCGGAAGGAGATACTCGGTGTGAATTGGGAGGATTGTAGTTGATTAGTGGCAGCCGATGATTGCCGAACTTGTTAGAGAAGAAAGTTCCTCCAGCTCCTTCTCGTTTCGTTGCTTCACCGTTGCTCAAATGAGTTTCATATCGATTGAATACATTTAATTTGCCTCGAGACGAATAACGAATCACGTTCGATCGATCAAGACAAGTGTGGATTGATCTTGGCGATATTTTCATCATGAATCTCGAAAAAATAAAATTGGCAACTTCTTATATTATATGCTTGTTATATATAATATAAATAGAACTTCGTTTATATGAATTCTATTTTAATCAATGAAATTATTCGAATTAATCCTATCAGTCCAATTATGTGAACATCTGTTACAAATAAAAAGATGTAATAGATGTAATAAATACAAATTAGAAGTGCGAATATTTGAAGATAAAACTCTCAAGAATTTAACTTTAAAATAAATTTCTAAACGTAACGAAAAGTAAATGGTAATTATTTATTATCTTGGTATTATCTTGATGATGATTTTTTAACACCTGGTGGTCAGAATCATCCTAAATTGTTTTGTGAAAATTTTACTTGTTCAATTTTTGTTCGTTAAAAACAATTAATTAACAAAAACATTTCTCCTTAAATTTTCATTCAATCTTTATTCGAGATAAAATGTAATTTTAGAATTGGCATAAATTGATGCGAAATTTATTTAATTTCTGTTAGGTTAATTCTTAGTAACTTTCGTATTTATTAACAACATATTAAAAAAAAAAAAAGAAAATCATCGAAAAGTAATATCAATTTTAATACCATATTTACCAAATGAACGAATTAGATGTACCGATAATTGAAAAATTTCTTTTTTTTTTTTTTTTTGAATTCAGATTTTCGAAAAAGAAGAAATCTCTCGTTATATAAACTGGTCACATGAACATCCAAGTATTTCAATCCGATGCTTTATCCCCCCGTTCCCCCCTCCGGAATCCATCCCCGCAACAACTGTGTGGAATCGATCTTCTCGGTTTGTACGCGTAAACGCACAAACTCCTAAAAGCCTGTTGTCATTTACGAGGTAATAAATCTAACGTTATTCGAACGTTAAAGCGGATTATAAAGCTAGCTCCGTTCAAACGGAATAAATTCGTTCGATTTATCGATGATCGGGTGATCATCGTCTCGTTTAATTGCCATTCGTAATTTATTCCAACTTTCTAATCCTGCCTGCGCGGAAAACAAGAATGAAGAAAAGATCATCGATCTTTTCAATTAACGATACCCCCTCCCTTCCCTGATTTGATTCTTCCATTTCGATGTTCGAACACCGTTTTCATCGTTCGACCATCCACCGTTTCATCATTATATACTCAATTAGAGCTCGTAGCCTGGAAACAGGGTTCAGATGTAAGGATTATTAAATCTTATCGGTTATATACGTATACATTTTGTACACTGTTGAAAGATCGATACCATCTGGGAATTAGAGAAACAATATATATATATATACATATATATATATATATATATTTATATACGTGTTACTTCTATACTGTGGTTTATTAAATAAACTCTGCTACTCTCTCGGTTTTACATTTATACAAAATTGGAAAAAACAGGCGGGCACGATCCACCGAGGATCGTTCGTTTTGAAGATCGAACATCGTATTTACAGGTCTACCGTGAATTAACGCGTGAACGACGATTATTTACACTTTATGTACAAGACACGTCGGACGATAACGCGTCTGTTATTGGCACAGATTCACGATACACTATTCTCTGCTCCCCCAGAGAAATTTTCTTCTTGTTGTTGTTATCTCTCTCTCTCTCTCTCTCTCTCTCTCTCTACGAACGAATTTGTGTTTATTACACGAATGTCGATTGAGAAAAGAGAGTTTAATGTTTAGAATAGAGTTTTTTTTTTTTTTTTTTCTTTCAGAATTACTTTGGTTAGACTTTTTTCGTGAAAATTATTCGACTTCCTTTCCATTTGGTCTCCATTGAAAATTTTCATGAATTCGTACGCAATATGGATTGGATTCAATTTACGTTTTTTTTTCTTTTTTCATTCCCTTAAATAACTCGAGGCTGGATACGACAAACCGATCCAAAAGTAATTCCAGAAGGGAAATTTCGACGAATTCGAAGAAAATCCGGTTTTTACGCTTCAGTAGTATTTCTCTTGTTTCTAATTCCAATTGTTTCTCTCAAGGCATATTTCAAACCAAGAACCGGAACTTGGGAAAAAATTTCCGCAAAAACATTTGATCGTTCGAAGATCGATTCAGTTCGATAGATAATGCACTCATAAATGCGCTCCGTTTCGCATAATATTTCTTTCCTCCATACTTTTTCACCAACCTTTTCTTATATCCCATCAAATATCTCAACACTTTTGGTATATATTTCTCATAAATTATCATTCACTCTCCTTCTTTCCTCCTTCCTCACTTTTCTGGAGGTAAATATCTCAATCCTCAACAGGAGGACAATTTTATATAAAAGAATCTCTTCACTTCACCATAAATGCTTTGCAGAGTTTTCCTTTTACCTCTTCCTATTCTTCCTTCTTCTTCATCCCACAAGGCCAAGTTATACATCCAAAAATAATTTCAGAATGATCCTGGATCCTTGTTGTCCACCTCGATATCCCATAAACGCATTCCACGTGATCTTCTTTCCTCCCCCTCTTCCCTTACGTCTCTCCTGGCCATATCCCAAACCGGTCGCAACGCAAAGAGACAATGTCGAAGGGGAATCGGCCAATGTTCGCGAGGGATGATCCAGGATCGATTCACTACCGATTCTGACTCGTCGTCACCAACTTTGACCCCCCGCGCCCCTCTCATTCCCTGGATGGATGCTGGGAGATCGGGTGATGCGGCGTCAGGCCTGGATGAGACAGCATTCCGACCGGGTAGAGGCTTGCAGGCGTCAAAAGGCCCGGATGAGAGCCGTAAAGCGTGGTGTGGTGCTGCCTGACCGCCGACATCCGCAACTTCTCGATTTCCGCTTCCTGCATGCGCTTCGCCTTGGCGCGACGATTTTGAAACCAGATCTTCACCTGTAACAATGACAAGGGCCCCGAGTTTGTTATTACTTGTCGCCTCCCGATCTTAACGGATCGACGATTCTTGCCGGCCGGCTCTCGTTGCGGTCTCGGCTCGATTCACGGGATAGAGATGGGAAAAGGAATCGATCACGGCCACTGATCGAGGAGAACGGATCGAGTTTTTTCTTCTTTTTATCTAACTTTTTCCGTTCAAAAATGTTACAAATTTCGCTACTCGATTGTGGAATAGGATATGACAGAGAGGGAACGATAATCATTATACTTGTAATACAAATTTTCTTTAGAAAATATTTAGATATTGATTCTTGATTGTGTGTCAAAAATATTGGTATATTTAATTGGGAAAAGAAGAAAAATAGAGGGAGATAATATTATTATGGTTATTTTAAATTGTAATAAATATGTATTAAAAAAATGTCATGTCATGTAATAAAAGTAAAATATATTTATCTAATGCATAATTGAGGTAAAAGTAATTAAAAATTAAAAGAAACAATTATTCAAGCTTTTTTCATATATTTAATTTTTATAAATTAATAATGCAAATAATGTTGATATGGTATTCTATCTAATCTACCTTATTCACATTGCAACAATTTTGAAAAATTTTTAATACAAAGTATTAAAAAACCTTCTCTTTCTTAACAATCTTCCCCTCGCAAATCCATCGATATTTAATCTTCCATCCCAATTAATCCCAACTCGTCCCCCAAAGGGAACAGTGACGAGGAGGAGGATAATTACACGAGGAATCGAATCTCTTCCAAGAGAAACAGAAACCGTTCTAAAGTCGAGCGGGCCTAGAGATAAAGATAGAATGAATTTGTCGAGAAGACTGTAGAGGTTTCGGTGACAACGGCTGAGGCGGATGTATCGCCATGTTGACAGACGCGCGGCCGGAATCGCGTTTTCGAGAAGACAGGGGGGGAACAAGACCATGATAATTTGGGATAATTGGTCGGTCATCGCGCAATTTGTAATCTATTAATAAAATACCCAGTGTTGTCCGCCAGAAATATCACGCGCTAATTACCATCCGTGTTCTGGTAAACGGATTTCGAAGATCGGTTTAGGATCTTGTGTTGCAATTGATTCCTTTTCGATTCAATATCTGTGTTAATCTGCCTAAGGCTGGATAGGATGTCACCACAATAAGAGAATATCGGTTGGGGACGGATGTTGAATCGTGTTGAAAGTGAGTGTAAAGAAGGCGTAAGATGGCTCAAGTTTTGAGCAAGGATGACTGGGTTTATGGTGTTTGTAATAGCAGCTTGTTTGTCCTGGAAATAATGGGTAGAGAGGTTCCAGTGTATTCCAGGTATAAATAAAATATTTCTGAATTTAACTTTGACCGAGCACTTTGGAAAATTGAATGTCTTGGAAAGATCTCTCGAGTGTGTACCTTCGTGTGTGTGCTCGAATGGCCAATTGAATTTAAATTATATAAATCTCAATTTTGGGAATTTGGGGATTTTATATATGGAAAAAGCGAGGAGTAATTGATAAGAATAATAATATTTGCATGAGAATATTTTAAATAAATCTTTTTAAATAATCCTTTCTTTTGGGTAGGAATTAAATATTTCTTTTTTTTTTTTCGAATTAGAGAATTAATAGGTTGTATCTCAAAAAATACAACGTGTATATTGATTATTTAATTGTTTGAGGAGGAAGAAAAGGATTTAAAAGTCGTTTTATTCGAATATCGTTGTATTTAGCTATCTTGTCGATCGTTTAATTTTAGTTTTAATTATGGGATTAAAAAAAGTTTGAACGAAAAGAATAAAGAGGATAGAAGTCGGAACACGAATTTTTTTTAGATAAACATTTGTTAATAAAATAAATATCGACGTGCAAGTCGTTATCCTCGAATCTGTAGACACACATTAATAAAGATAAAACAACAAAGAACTTTCTTGTTCCGATCTTCATCTTATTACTTTTTTTTTATTATTCAATATCAGATCTTTTCGATCGAAATTAATTAAAATTGAAAAATGGATTTATGATTCCAATCTGATTCGACAAAGTGGCTATTAAACAGTAGTGAAAATTAAATTCAAACAGAACGAAAATTTTAAATTAAATGGCTGACGTAGAAGAAAAAAAATTTGCAATCTCATATATTATTATTCTATATTTTTACCAGTTCCATTATTTTTCTGTGTGCAACTTGTAAAGTAACTCATACTTAATTATAGTAGTGGTATAGAAAAATAACACAGTATCGGAATTAGTTAGATAACGACAAGACTAAACAAGGCTTGATGCTTTTTTTTATCGACGGCATACATCAAATCGACACGTTCAATCTTTTTCTTTACTCGCTTTATTCGTTCAACCTTTTATAAAACATACACGGTGGGACAAATAGAAATATGGAAAAATTTTTTTACACGCAAAAACTTCGAAACTTCTTATTCTCATTTTCTTAAATTGCATTATATTAAAGAGAACCTTTCACACGAATTGAACAACCCTCGTTATTCGAAAATTCGAACGAAAGACAGTACAATTAACTATTCGTTGCAATGATGGAATAATCATTTTTGTTTCACACATCCTTCTGACCATCTCTGAAACAAATTCACAAAAGATCCTCAACAATCTCTTCTAATAAACCATTGTCCTAAATAAAACCTTTAAAAATAACAAACATATTCAAAGTTGAATATTGTGTATACACAATCTATACACAATATCCCCGAGCAAGAAAGGAGGAAAAAGAAGAAGGAAGTAGAGCAGAAATCTCACCTGGGTCTCGGTGAGGTGAAGGGAGGACGAGAATTCGGCCCTCTCCGCAACGCTGAGGTATTGCCTTTCCGTGAACTTCTTCTCGAGCGCGAGCAATTGTTGCGTGGTGAAAGGCGTCCTCGGCTTCCGGTTCGGCTTGTGTTTCCTCAGGTTGCACTTGATCTTGGCCGGCTCCCCGTTCTCTGCAACCGAAAAGCAACAGGAGGATGATCGCACGACGCAGTCATCGTCACCGTCCTGGCGCAGCAGCCCCCCACAGCCTTAACGAGGGGGGAGGGGAGGGGAACCGGGTTGTTTCGCGGGTTACGAACGAACCGAGGCGAAACACCTCCGACCGCAACCTCCGTCCGTGTTTTTGCGGGACGCGGCACAGTTTCAGAGGAAAGCGAAACTTTTTAGGGATCGATTCATAATTTTCCCCCGTCGGCGCCGCAAACTCGGCCCTCATTTAGCCCTTTTTTGCGCCCCGACCGCAAGATCCCCAACGCCTTCCCCAACGCTTGTATTCATTAGATATATAGCCCTACCCTTCCAGGTGAAATGTACGTATAATCGCGATAATCGATACCCGTTTTCTCCAATAATTCGCCACGATCGGTTTGGATCAACAATTATGGATCGTCGAGGTAACTGCGTTATTGCAGAAATTTACCAGCCTACTTGCACGAGGGTTTTTCTTGTTTCTTTTTCATTATTAGTGGGATTAGTGGGGGGTGGTTTTGCGATCACACGTCTCATAGGATAAGCTTGTACTGAATTATATTCTATTATCACGGGTTTATAAGTTTTTTTTGTAACAGCGAATAAGAAGTAGGAGAGCGAAATGATATAGTCAAGTAGAAATTTAATTTCACGAATATGTTATAGAATAATCAAACTTGATACGTTTCACTATTATTCTCCGCGCTAGGTAAAATACGAGCTTGTCGTATTTGTCGCAACAGATCGATTCATTTTGTGATTCGTATTGATTTTCGCACAATTATCACACAAATGTGATAGCTATGTACTATCCTATAATATAATACACTGAACGAACCTCCTTTGCAAATCCTCTTTTCTTCTTTTCTTCAACGTTTGAATTGAAGAATTCATATTAACTCGCATATTATGGATCGTTGACTAACAACTGGCTGGAAAGAATTATCCACCACGAGAAAATAAACAAGTCAACTCGTTCATCCTCTTTGCCTCGTGAAAAAAAAAAATATTTACCTCGTGTAAAAAAAAATATTTCTACGTTTATACGTTTTATACGTATCTATACAATTGCTGGAAGCATCCGTCAAAATCATCCTCGAAAATCTCGAACAATGTCCCGGACTCAAGCGTCGGTTGTCGCAACCTGTACAATAAGCCGGGACGAATCGAACGCGGCGAAACATCTTATCAGGGGGAGGGGGAGGCGAGGAGAGGCTCGTGTCAAAACATATCGGTTATATTCCCCGAGATTTGTCTCGGGACAATTGACAGATTTGTAGGGAGGGAGGAGGCGAGTTTCTCGAGACGAGAGACAAAAGGGAATATCGTTCTCTCTCCGCCGCTTCTGAATTTCAAATTTTCCAGCGGATCTCCTCCCCCTCCCCCTCCCCCTCGGCCATCAAGTTATTCGTTCGCGCACGGGGGAATTTCGCGAATTCTTCGAAAAAGAGAGAGAGAGAGAGAGAGGAACATCCTTTTGTGCGATGATCCTCCCTTCTCTCTCCCTTTTATTTCTACCACGACTCCTCCAAAGGAGGCCCAATTAGTATCCGCCGATTCCTCGCCGGATGCCCGAAAACTCGAGGACCCGATTTCAATCCATTGAAGGCATTTCGAGATAATTAGCTGAGATACCGATTTTTGGGAAATGTGGTGAAGGAGGGGGTGAATGGTGGTGGGGATGATGATCGTTGATTTGATCGAAATGGAAATTGGGATTCTTTTTTATTCGAAGGAAGATTTCGGCAAATATTCAATGGATAATTCGAGAAATCAAATTGGTTGAAATTTGTATGAGCTCGTTTGTATTTTCGATCTTGTGGTTTCGTTAATGATTAATAAAGAATAAGAACGAAAAATAAGAATGATTAATAAAAGAATGTATTTAGATTTGTATTTGTATTGTATTTAATTTGATTGATGAAGATTAAAAAAAGAAACGGATAATTGATTATATTGTAACAATGAATAATAAATTTTATTAAGAGTGTGAAAATAAAGATCTGTGTAATATTACAGTTTCTGTATTGTGTTTTTGATCACAAAAGAGGATAATTTTCTTTTCAATTTTGTAAAATAAAGATAACTTGAAATATTTCAAATTACGAAGCCCTTGTTTTGTTGTTATTTTTTAATTGAACCAAAATTTAAGTTTTCGGATGCTTTATATTTTTTAATATTATTCAGAATTCGAAATGTAATGGTACATTTAACATTAATTTCACTCGCGCAATAACTTTTTATTCTTCAATCTTAGAAATGATATTCCAAATAATTTTCTCTACCTTTAATCGAGAGACATTTTTTTTTTTCAAAGATTCAAAGACGAAGCAATTGTCGAAGAAATATGTAAAATTGACGAAAGAAAGAAAATTGCATTGAACGATGTATATATCGAATGGAATAAGAATCGAACGTGAATGAATGCATAGATAAAAAGAAAGAGAGAAAGAAACGAAGAAAGATACCCTTTCGATCGATTTTCATGCAAATTGGTGAAATAATTAGCTGATTTCGAAGAGATATCTAACGAGGAGGACGATCGCCGCGAAAGAGGTAAGGCAGAATCGCTCTTTCGTTCAGAACGTTCTTTGTTGCGTTGCGCAATCTTTTCCATGGGCCACCACGAGCCCATCTATGCTCTCTCTTATTAGTCGGCTCGATCGATAAACGAGCAGTAAGCGTGCTCGTTTGTTTATTAGAAATCGAAATTCTAAAGAGCCTTCCGCGAAATCGCTTGTATTCATCTTCCCTGTCCAAATGAATCACCTTCTTTAACGGAGGGGGCAATTAATTTATACTACTTGACATTTGTTGAGTTCAATTCCTTCGTGCAATTACTACTAATTTATTTTTCCTCGTATTTTTTCTTGGAAATATAATCCGTGTAGAACGCACGAATGAGTAGATATTCATTCTGTTTGATATCGATACAATTGAACAATTTATTCGTAAATAATATTCAATCATTTGTTGAGTTGAAATCCTTCGTTTAACTTAATTAATTCTAATTTGTTTTTCTTTACTTATTTTTTCATGGAATTGATTTATAAAAAAGTACTCGTATCGATATTGGAGGTAATATCTTTCATTTTTCAATAAAAATAAAGTAAATAATGAAAACTGATTTGCATTGTTATTCCTTATATTTTTCTTGAAAATAATTCATAAATAAAAAACACAATCAATATTTACTTCCTGTTTTCAACAACCAATTATTTATTATTATTTATTATTCATTGATTCAATTCTTTCTTGATATAATTATTTCTAATCTATTTTTTTCTTCTATTTCTTCCGGAATTAATTTAATAAAAAAGCATGAATATGATTTTGTAATTTGTTTGCTATCAATATTAAAGATAACATTTTTTTCCATTTCAATTTATTACTACTCAATTTCTTCGTTGAGCTTAATTTATTTTTCCTTATATTCTTCCTGAAAATAATTTGTGACGGAAAATAGGTTTGCACCCTGTCGTTGAAGATAACACTTTGCAACCCCTATTTTCAACCCCTTCTCGAGCATATAGTTAAAGTAAAGAGCGGTGAAACAAAGTTTGAAGGGTTGCACAATTCGGAAGGAAGCACCCTCCATAAGTGGCCATATTTCAAAATCACGCTGGTTCCCCTAACACGACTCGACCGCCGGGACTCGATTATGGTCGATTGTACTCTTCTTCCCAGCCACCCTAAATTGTGCGTAACAATGATCTATAAATTGGAAGGATATAATAAGGATAGAAAATCCGTAATAAAAGGCAACATTATGCTTTATACATTCCCGATTTCAATTATATTCTATGATTAACATTAGCGTTTATTTATTTGAAATACTTGAAATATAAAGATATAAACACACGATTAATTTTATCTAATCAAAAATTAACAAATATCTCAGATTTTGTTATATATAAAAATGCTAAAAAATATAAGTTTCTATTGGGAAAAGATCACAAATAGATGAAATAAAATTTGTTACTAGAATTTCATAATATACAGTGCAACAAGGAGAAGTGCAAAAATTTTATTGCTCGATTAAAATACAGTCGAACGAATGAAAACTCTCGACTCTTCTTCTCGAACGTTCTTTCTACTCTGTATAACTGAATAAAAATAAAAATTTCCACATAAATCGTCTAGTTGAAAAAAAAAAAAAAAAAAAAACTGGGAAAAAAAATTTGATCAACAACGACGACGACCAGTTTTCCATTCCAACGAGTGATTTGCAGTTGCAACACCTTTTTGTAATAATCGCCTATTGTCTGTCGTCCAGATTCCACGAGGCCCGACAAGAACCGGCCCTCTGTTCCTTCTTTCTGCCTTAGTGGCGGCGCTCTGACGAAGCGAGAAAACTTTGATTGCCTCTTTAACGAGAACCCGGCGCAATTATCAAGCCGCGACCTCAATAATTAGTGTTAACGATGATTCAATCGCGACGAGTCATCCACGCGCGCGCGCGCGCGCACGCCTTCCAAGAACTGCATTCCTTTCGCGGTGATTTTAGGTGAGCCTCTTTCGACCGCTAATAACGTATTGGCGACAATATCGTGCGTCTCAATTTATCAATTGCCTGCGTTTTTTCTTCCTTCCTTCCCCCCTCCCCCCTCCTTCGATATTTTAATTCAACCAGTCCCAACCGATTAAGTATCTATTGCTAGAATTTGTTGACTGTGTCATCGATTTTTTTATCCCGATAAATATCTCTCAATCAATGAATAAATATAAAACGAGTCGGACGATACTTTTAAATAAAAGCTGCTGCTTTCTAAAAAATAGATAAAAAGGAGATAACGTGCGATTTCTATTACGAAAAGAAAAAAAAAGAAAAAAGAATTATTAGAATCATTAATTTACTTCGAGCATCATTTTCAATACCTCGTGATCCAACACAACTTATTATTTATATTCTTTTTCTTCAAACTTGAAGATTTTAAGAATTTTAAATTAAATGATATATAATTTCAAATTCTATTTATTTGAAAGGATGCAATTCGTAGTGTAATCGAAGTTCATATTTTAATTCGTCGTATCGATCGATCATTCGACAAGATACAATGAACAAACTGCTTCGAGTTACGGGAGAGAGAGAGAGAGAGAGAGAAAAAAGAACGAATAATCAAAGTCTCTACTTTCTTTCGAAATACCTTCAGCAATCACAATTTCGTTGCACGCGAGAATAGAAGGGAAAAAGAATCGAAGAACGATGGCGAAGCGTGGCTAGGCGACTTCCGTTCCGCGCCGACTAATTTTATCCGGGGACAACGGGGAAAGCGAAGAATGTCGAACCCGTCGGCTCCATTCAACGAATCTCTGTCGCATTCATCGTCTCTCCCATTCTCGCTCACGATTCTCGCGCCTCGCCTCGAACGGAAGAAAGAGAACGAAAAATATCGGAACCGATTGGCGGCCGGCCAAACGGCAACGAGAACGTTCGAACGCGAACACAGGTTTTCGTCGGCCTAGCAAATGGACCAGCGGTGGAGGAAGAAAGGGGGAAGAAAAATAAAGAAAAAAAAAAAAAAAAAAAGGTTCCTTGGTTCACTCACCGTTCAGGGGCGCGTGATGAGAGAAATGCGAGGGGAAGAAGCTGGCAGTGGCCGCGGCGGCGGCGGCGGCGGCTGCCGCGGCCGCGGCTGCACCCTGATGTCCTCCGCCCCAAACGGCGGGATGGAGCCCCGTTGGAATGCCAGAGATCCCCCCCAAACCGGAGAATCCCCCGATGTATGCAGGCGTTGGTCTCACCGGCGTCGGGCTGCTCCCCTGATCATCGTGATGATGACGACGATGATGATGATGGTGGTGTTGCAACTCCTCCACGTCGACCAAACTATTCTCGTCCTCCTCCTCGATGTCCTCAGGTTCTGAACACCTGGACCTGCCCTCGTGCGAGCTACTTCTCGGCGATTGGGAACCAAATTCTGGATGGTTGTTGTGCGTGGATACTTTGGGGGACGAGGAACAGGCTGTCACTTCCGACGTGGAACCACTTTCCGTGGACGTTTGCACTATGTAGTCCAGGGTTCTGGAGCGAGGGGATTCCACCCTGTCGACCTCGATTTCCGGAAGTCTGGCCAACGTCCTTGCGTCTAGGGTGGTTCTGGGGGCGTCACAGGTGTACTGGCCCGATCTGTGCTCTTGGGCGGTACATGGAGACATCGACGGGACGTATCTCGATCTGTATTCACCTGGATACTTCTGTAGAACGGTGTTCGACGTCGTGATAGACAGTTGATCGTGTCTGACAGGGGAGTAAGGCGCGAGGGGAGATGATCTTGGAGAGACGGAGGACGTTTCCTGTCTGGTGGTGTCCGACTTTTTAGTGTCTGCCAACAGGGCAGCGACGGAGAAGCTCAATCGATGCACCGGTTTCGAAATCGCCTGGGGCGCCTGGGCCTCGTTGGAACCTGGACTGCTCGATGGAGGCGTCACCGGGGAGGTCATCCTTAGTACTGTCATTCTTATTTACCGCGATTCAACACTTCTTCGAATCTATACCTTTCACCGAAACACTCTCGAACTCTTCCTCGATCTTCTTCTTCTTCTATATTCTCATCTTCCCGAAACATTAAAGGGAGGTATCTCCCTTCCTTGCTTGTACGAGGGAAGAAACAAAAATGTCCAAATGTCTCTTCTTTGATCGAACTGTCTATCTCTTTCTCTATCTCTTTCTCTCTCTCTCTCTCTCTTTCTCTCCCCCTCTCACTGACCCGTCACACGATCTCGTCAACACGACTCGTCGAACCGACAAAAAAGAAAAAAAGATCTCTTCGGGATCACGGCAATTTTTTTTTTTTTTTTTTTTTTTTTTTTTTTTTTTTTTTTTTTTTTTTTTACGATTAAGTCACTCGAATATCCCTCGAAGAAACTATGATGCGTGCGTGACACGTTTGACAGGTGAGCCGTTGATCGACGGATCGATGGATCTCCGGCCAACTGACCTGAACTAGCCTCTACTCGACTCGAGCTCTCCGTGTGGACTGACTTTGACCATCGTCTGACTGCGGCGCTCGGACTTTTTCGTTTTGCGGGTGGAGGCGCCTGGTTAGTAGGGGGGAGGCAGGGGGGAGAGGAGGGGAGAGAGCCCACTTCGTTGCTTGGAAAGAGACGGTGTCGGAGTCGGCAGTCGGTGGAGGGGGGACAAAGCGCGAGAAAGGGGAAATCCAAAAGTGGGCGGGGCCTCGAGGCGACAGAAAGGGCGTGGCTTCGGTGGCTCCGCCCCTCCCCCGATCTTCTCTTCACGGAACCGAAGTGAACCGAACCAGGGCTGATTTTTCCCTGCCGGGGATAAGTTTCTCTGTTGCAAATGTGCCACCACCGGTTTCGGGGGAGGCAGGGATTACCCGTGGATAGAATAAGGCTTGGTGGGGGGTTGCCTTTGCCGTTACTCCTCGACGGGAGAGAAAGAGAAGAGAGATTTTATCGTTTCGACTCGCCTCTCCACCGTAGGAGACGGTAATGAGCGTAATTGACCAATTAGGGCAGGTGATTAAGAGTGGAAAAATGCAGACACGCCTCGAGTGGCTTCGATCATCGTTCGCTTATTGATCCATTCCGCGGTTTCGAAATCTCAGGGCGAGGTGGATTCGATGCGGTGATGAATGTCTTTCCCTCCCTGATCGATCCGCGCCAAACTGATCAAACAGTTGTAATCAAGCAACGTAATCGAGATTTCGCGTTACGATTTCTTATAATTAAATATTGCTCTAGAGAACCAATCTGATGAAGAAAAAAGAAAAAAACGTTAATCCAAGAGAAATTAAACGACTGTCGACATCTATTTTATTCTTTTTCGTATATGATAAAAGTGTACATATTGTAAATTTATTCTAAATTTTTTCTCTTATCAATTTTGTGGATCAAATTATTTTGACCCAAATCCGTGATAACTAAATTTTGAAAATTTGCCATCAAAATTGAAATCAACTCGACAACTACATGGATTCATTTTTATCAACGTTTCTACCTTAAGTTGAAGGAATAATTTTATAAGAATTTTCTCTATTACAAATCATAGAAAGATAGAAAAATTTTTGATTAAAATAGAATAATAGCAACTTCATTAATAAATTCATTATTTCAATTAATTAATTCTTGTTTATCCTTACACAATGCCTTCAAAAAGAAACCTCTTTCTTAAATTTTGCAATCTTAAGAATTTAACAATTACCTATGCAATTACCTAATCTACTATTCTACACTACAATCCATCTCGTTACAATTAACCAACTGAACCACCAAATAAATTGATCGACCAATTAAACCGAAGAGAGAGAAGAAACTTGGAAGATATCTGAAAGATCTTATTATCGAGAGGGACGAGATATAGGGATGAGAAGAAAAAAAAAAAAAAAAAAGAGGCAAAGTGTTCGAGCATCCCCCCTTCTGGATTTCGTTTGTTCGCGCAGCCAGGTATATCGATTCGCATCGAGTCGAACGGGTGCTCCGTCGGCGCGGAGGGTCTTGCCTCACAACCCCGATCGTTCACGAGCCCGAGTAGCGAGAGATTTTCGGGGTCCTCGTGGCGCTCGTTTGTTCCGAACGCCGCTCAGATCCCATCGTCGCATCCGTCCGTCATATTTACGGTGGCATCCCCCCCCTCCCTCCCCCTCCCCCTCCTGGGGCTTGACGCAGCCACCGACCGATAAGCAAAAACAAATGCCTGCCGATAGGTGGCCGCGATAAGAGGCGGCCGAATAAAACCTCATAGACGCTCTTCCATTTGCGCGCGGAATTGGCTGAAAGCCGTAAATTTCATCGCGCCAACTTCCGCCGTCTCGCGCTGCCACTTCATCCGCCCGCCAAAAGGGGATCGATATCTTGGCCGGGGATCGATGGAAAACGATTCCGCAAACGGTTGTCTTTTATAGTCAGCTCGCAACGACGCCAATGGGTCGCTTCCTCGATCCTCTTTGACTCGACCCAAGCCTTCCTTCTTCTTCTTCTTTTTCTTTTTTGGATTGGGTAAAATTGATCGAGTGCTTTTGTTTTAACGATGTATTAAGAATCTTGAAATTTTAATTATGATAATATATTCATGATGATGCAGAAATATTGCGCGGTTTCTTCTTCCTTTATTTTATTTATTCTGATGATTACTTACGTATATATATATATATATATAGATGAGCTATATAGATAATGTCGAGTCCCGGTCTAGTAGATTTACACCGGTTATGGTCAGACGTGGTACTCGCACTTTATTAATATTAACATAACGCGAGATCTGATATTAAATACACGCGTAATAATGTACACGTTATGCTTCCTTTTTGCATCTACTACTAAAACTCGAAAGAGAAGGAAACAGTTCGAATTCCATTGCAAGAATAAACAATAAAATTATATTTACATCTCCAATCCTTCGTCTTTCCCTTCTCCACCGATTTCCTCCCTTTCTCCTCTTCTTCCTTCATCGAACGAACCACGTTTTCAATCTACGAGAGATTAGCATCGGTCGGTAGTGGCGGCGTTAAAAATTCGCCACCCCACAGGGAATCTACTTCACACTTTCTGCTTTCCGCGGAATACGTATATACACCCCCGGCGAGCGTGGACGATTAATTGCCTCGCTAGAATCGGAGAACCCGGAGAAGGACGCCGATCGAGGGTGTCGATATCTCGAGCTGGAGAATAAAAGCATCGATGGACGATGCCCCCGCGCCGTTGCAATAAATTTGCTCGCTCCAACTTCCTATACAAGGGGTGGGGGAGGAGGGGATCCCTTGCGTTCTCTTTGTCGATGAGCAGCGGATATTTATGGCCCTCGAAACTGCAGATTAAAACGGTAATTGTACGTAGTTTCGCGCGGGACAGATCGGTCTCCAGGAAATCGGTTTACGGCGCGCGTTATCGGCCCAGTTATAGCTTATTGAATCCACGAACGCTTCCAAATATATATATTTTGGACTGGATTCCAACACTCACACAGGATTCTATCTGACGAGGTGTGTGTTCGTGTGTGTACACTTGGAAAAATTCCATAAACTTGAGGATACGATGGAGGGATGGATTTTTGATTTTTAGGCGGTCGATAGGCACGATTTCGTTGAAGGGGGTCGTGAAAAATGATTTGATAACAAAGCAAAGGGGGATTATCGTTTAAGAGTTTATAGGCCATCGAGTTTCGAGATCGGTGATTAATCGTAGGAGGATGGATCGATAAAGAGATCATTGAGATATTTTGAAATTGAACACGATGTGATCTCTTGGAAGTGAGTTTAATCCTGTCTGTCGAGATGGAGTTATTAGCGAGAATAGAAAATACTTGAATCTTGAGTAACGTAGATTGACGCAAACGAAAGTTAATAGATTGGCAGATAAATGTAGATTTTAATAGCGGTTAATAGGATCCAAAAGATTTTATCCGAAAATTCTATCGAAAAATAGAATCTTTAAATAATTTTAAGAGATTTTTATGTTATGTATAAAAATTGTGAATAAATATTTTCATTTCTTTAACTGATAGATACAAGATATTGCAAATACTGAATTATAACTTTAACAATATAATACAATATTAAAAATAATATTTTAAATATACTTATATTATTTTAAGATAGACATTTTATTGAAATATATATGAAAAGAGATTAGATTTACTTCAAATAATAATTCATAAGCAGTTTTCAATATTAAAATTACAAATAATATAATAAGTTTCATTTTACTTTCTCAAAATTACATTTTGCTAAAAAGAAATATATAAATTCATGGTTTTCGAAGAAATTAATAGAATAAAATATCATGTTTCGTTTATTGAATAATTAGCAATTTACCTTCATTCCAACACTTTCACTTTCAGCTTCAAACGTTTCCCCTCTGATCGTTTCTATAAACATCCATTCCTTTCCCTCCCTCCTCGCCCAATAAAATTAGCGTGTAATCAAGCACCGACTCGACGTCACCAGGAAACAAGTGTTTTCTATTAAAGATAGAGCGCGCATATAGTTCGCGAGAAACTAAACGCAGCGTTATTAAACATCGGCTTCCAAATAATTAAGGGGAACACGAGTGAGATCGGGAGATGGTGGCTGGCAGCGCATAGAGAGGGATGGGCCAATTTGGATGGTTACCAAGGCAAACGATACGTTAAATAGATAGGACGGCTGAGCGGCAGGGAAGCCGACATAATGAGGACCACCCGCTAGCTCCGCAAGACCCGCTCGGTACACGTACACGGTGTGTCATCGAGTTTCGCTCCGTTCTTTTTACCCTCAACCCTTCCTCAAAACTTTTCAAGGAAACGAATCGAGAATTTATCCGGATCGATAGATGAAAATTCTCACAAATTTTTTGAAATGGAATGTGATTTATCATGGATGCGATTTATAACATTTGAAGAGGTATGGGGATAATTGAATAGTGCGATTATATTAATAAGAAATAATCAATTTACAATTCACACAGATAAACGATTTAAACGATTCTTTCTTTCATTTAATAGATTTACAATTCTGGATGAGGAAACGAATTAATTGAAAAATTGAGAAAGGAACTTTCGAGAGTTTTGCTCGGACTTTAATTAAATTCTTCCAGAAATTAAAATAAAGTATTAAAACTATAAATTGTTTAAAAATATATAATGTATATATCTATTCTTTCGATTGTTATTTACAAACGAATTTTTCTTCTGTAGGAAAAAAAAAAATAATTGTTATCTACGATCGGGACACCCTGTACGTGTAAACGACAAAGTGGCACGGCGTGGTTAATTATTAGCACGCCGCTATATTGAGCATGAAAACACTGTTTCTTTCGTCCAGAAGAGATTCAAGTCAAATTGGCGTTAAAATTGCAATCACGGTGGTCCGTCTCCAAACCCCTCCCACCCTCCCTCGCCTCGCCCTCTCGCCACCCCAAACCGCTACCGCTGGCCCCTTCGTTCCTCCCGTTCACGGAATTAGATCGTCTATTCTCAGAGAAGTTCCACGGTCGTGTCTAATAGCCGTTTGGAGGGATAATTTCT